GATCAATAATAAATCAAACTCCAAGTTACATAGTTACCTACCTACAATTTGTACCAAGAGAGTTTTTCCATGTATCTACAACTGAATTAATATTTTCTATCCCTGTATTCAGTGTTGATGTTTCCAGGCAGTTATTGTTGAACCACAACTGTTTAAAGAAATTGAAATATAACAGCAAGATATCAACAACTAAATTTTCTACTTGCATGTACATGTACATCAGTACGGTGTACCTATTATTAGGCAAAGCGATTCCATAAAAATATACATCAAAAAGTGACAAATGTTTTTAAAAACATACATTTCACGTGTATGACCCTTCTTCAGTGTGAAGAAAACTAGTCATTTTGTAAACGGTTTTCCTCACGTTCAAGAAGGGTCATACACCCCAAATGTCTGTTTTTTAAAAACATTCAACATTTTTTGGTATTTAAATATAGGAATATCGCCTCATCAGCTACATGGCATTGCTGTCAACTCTCCCGGATAATCCAGAATCTCCAGACAATCTGGAGACTCCAGATTTTTGACCACATCTCCCAGTCTCCAGATCAGAGAAATAAAAATCTTGTGGATAATCACCAAAGTAACTGGACCTTAAAGCATCGCACCAAAGAAAATTTCAAAAGGTTACTGTCGATTTAGTCCACGGAAAATCACAGTGGTTCTAAATGTTGGGTTCCTTAAAACTATTTAAAAACAAGTTTTGTTTGATTTCTTCTTTGACCAAACAAATTTAATGCTTATCTATTGTTCTAGCTCACTTGCATTACATTAAAGACAGGTAGAAATGTGATGTTTTATGCGGAGGAAGTGTAATTTATTACACAAATCACTACGTACTAACAGCATAAAGACAAAGACATCATTTCTATGGAAGCCAAATATCATGCCACACAGTAAATATTTACACTGAGAATTTCAGAGATAAAGGGGTCAAATTCAACACATTTTTGATGTTGTTTTCTAAAGAGTGAAAGAAAAGGTGAAGGATCCCAAACACTTTCCAGAGGCACAATAATATTGAGCAGTTGTCCTTTCCTTTCCAGGTTGCACAAAAATAAAAACAGAGCCGTAAACTTGATTTGTGGCTCTCAGCAACTAGCCCAAGTAATTTAATAATTATCAGTCCTTCACCAAGCTGTATTATCCCCTAAAAATTTTTCATCTGTTCGGATTTCCTAGCTGAAAGTCTAGTGATCCGAAAATTATAGGGATCAAAACTTACCTTTTCGAAAATTTCAGCCTGAAAAAAGGCTCCCGAAAATTGTAGGTGACCTTTTTAGGGTAAAAATCCGTCAAAAATAGGCAATTATACCATTTTTTAGATGTTCGAAAATCCTAGGAGAGGCAGGCAAGCAAGAAATTTTACAACAAATGTTTCGAAAATTCTAGATCTCAAACCGTCTTCCGAACAGATATTCTTCCGAAAATTGTCGTTGGGTGCCCCTGTTTACACGAAGTCGAACTTATGCCCCATTAACACCAACTAAACATGTTTAATTAAACCAGGCTTTAAAAGCTGAAAAACAGACACGGAAAATTGGAACGCAGGTTTTTACACAGAATTCAAATAAAGTTCAAATTGTTTTGTAATTTGCACTAAATTAGCAATCAACTTAAGCGAGTAAGCAGCTTTGGTGTGAATGGGGCTTTAGTCTGCGAAGTAAGAAACCATTTTACCTCAGATCTCTTTCTGACTAAGCCATTTTAAGAAGAAAAACTTAATGCTTTTCGAGTCAAGACTTCATGCTCTCTCGAATATGTTCACAGGGAATGATAACCAGGGTTTAGATATTACCGTTGGGAAAATTAACAAAATAGGATTTAAAATGACGCAGGTTTGTTAAACATTGGCTAGACTCCGTTTTAAGAACTAGTAATAACGGTCTCTGGTGACCTCTTTTCAAGCCTTATAAGAAGCCAAGCCTTTTGAAAGGGGAATCAATGACTTACCCGAAACTGTATACTGTGATTCCACTCTACCGAAAGGATCTTGTGCAGTGTTGCTACAAAAAAGCAAAGCCATTCAATTTATCACACCTAGAAGAATAAACTACACAGGTTGAAACAGCTTTACTTACGTTTTATATTGACAAAAATCGCAGTCATTTATAGTGGCCTGTACAACTTCTGCGACACTGAAAAGAAAAACACACAGATGGGTTAGGTGTGTAGACTGGGTGTNGCTAGACTCCGTTTTAAGAACTAGTAATAACGGTCTCTGGTGACCTCTTTTCAAGCCTTATAAGAAGCCAAGCCTTTTGAAAGGGGAATCAATGACTTACCCGAAACTGTATACTGTGATTCCACTCTACCGAAAGGATCTTGTGCAGTGTTGCTACAAAAAAGCAAAGCCATTCAATTTATCACACCTAGAAGAATAAACTACACAGGTTGAAACAGCTTTACTTACGTTTTATATTGACAAAAATCGCAGTCATTTATAGTGGCCTGTACAACTTCTGCGACACTGAAAAGAAAAACACACAGATGGGTTAGGTGTGTAGACTGGGTGTCCTCCATTATACTAGTCAGACAGAAACCAGCGAGACGCACTAACCAAAACGACTAACGAAGTTTAGGTTTATTCCAACAGAACGAACTGGCATCAGGAAATATTGAAAACAGAAATTAAGGTAAGTTTGTTCCAGCTTTTCATTTACCAGTCAGACAACCAATTTACGTTTTGACTAAAGTGTTAGGAATTTAGTAACCAGTCTAACCAATCACTGTTTTCTCAACTCAAGAATTATGCAAAGATCACACCCTTGAACGAATTCAGCTTAGCCACCACGCTCTTGTCTTTAAGTGAGATCGATGGTCCCTGATTCAGCCTACATTGTCGTATTTCTAGTTACTCGCTGGATTTAAACCAATCAGAAACGGAGAAATATTTTGCATGAAAAATACTAACTCTTCCTCATTCAATCTACAGGTTTATGAAACGAAAGGTGACCTACCAACTGTCTCTGTGTTTCGATATTTGACCTATTATATTTTTAACGTAACTAGAACATAATTCTCAAATCTGATTGGCTATCAACTGTCCTCATTTCAGCACTGTTAGGGCAGTGTAATAAGACAGTACGCATCATGCCTGTAATTGGCATGTCCACGTCATCGCATGTGCGCGCTTAAATTGCTTTTTTTTTTCACTGCTAGCAAAAAAATCATAGGAATTTCTTGTGTTTTCAGTTTAAAAAAGCTTACATTTTGTAAAGTATTACAGCTTTGATTAATTGGCAACAGAACTTCATGACATCCAATTCGGTCTGTGTGGTTGTCCAATTTTGTCAATCACTTGTATGATTACTGACCAAATTTATTTATTTCAAATAAGAAACCAGAAGTGAGCCAGAAAGCTAAAATACTAACTATTTCTTTGTGTCTGCCGTTGCTCCCCCTCCAGCTCCTGGTCGCTTTGCTCGAAGAGGATTAAAAACAGTTGATTCTTGAGTGTATAAGTTGTCTACAGATGTGATAAGCTGAAAAATAAAAACACAGAAAAGCAGTGTTAAATCAGTTTGGGCAAATAAGGCAAAGATGACCGAATTAACCAATCACCAATCAGATCTATACAAAATCAATACCTAAAAAGAGGGCCTGTGGGGAGGGGGGAGGGGAGAGAATCGCACATGACAATGAGGAAGATTCCCATTGTCTCCCTTAGGGATAGAAATTGTAGATTTTGGTTTCACTGAGGATGTTGGAACAGAAAACCCATATATATACATGTATTTACCCAAAAAGGTATTGCTTGGGGTTGTGTGTAAAGAAGTTCCTACATTTTTGTAAATAAAAATAATAAAATTAATGTAATTGCCACATGTAGTGTGTTGGAGTATGGTCTCCCAGGGGGGTCAATAAGCACCGATGTCAGCTACTTTGCTCAGAGAAGTCGGTTACTTTTTTCCCCTCTTAATTGGAAGCTCGAAATAAAGTATTAAATTAAAGAAAGATTCTGTTGAAACTTAAATTAAAATTCAATTTGCTCGACCAAAATAGACCTTTTGCTCCAAATATAGAATATCTTTTGTACTCCTCAATTTATGCTGGAAATTGCACACTAGGGCATTTAATTTTTTTTGCATTTTCTAGGGGAGTACGCCCCCAGACCCCTCTGGAAGAAGGGGACTAAAAGCTTCTTGTGGATAGAGTTGGTTACTTTTTCTAAACCTGCTGGCTACTTCAATTTTCATTGAAACCCCTGGACTCCTTCAGGAGATTAATTCTAACTTTCCAACAGGCATCCCCATCATCATCAGTACCCCCCCTCCACCCCACCCCCCCTGCCCCCCACCAAGGGGACTACTGTAGTTTTGCTATATTGATAATATAGGGCACCATATTACAGCACACAATGTTAAGTAAAGGCATTACTGCACTGACATTAGAAAACATGACAGGGTTATTGGTAGCATTACCAGCTGATGTACATGTACATGTGCACATAAAGCTGTTTTTAGACAGTACCTGTAAACTTGCTTCTTCTAACAGCTTTTTCTTGCCACCAAGCCATTTAAGAACCTGTAAAAATCAATGCAAACTCATCAGGAAAGACTGACAACTTCAGTAACCACATGTGGTCAAATTCACACCAATGCAGTACATTTATGCCACACGTATACACCACAGGCAGGCCATAATATTACAATAAAAGTGGCAAAGTGTATGATGACAAAAAAGTTATTTTTATCCTTCCATTAAAGCAAAAGAGTCATGTTGTCAGTTAGTTTTGCTCCCTGCAAAATTAATTCTCAGTTTCATTGAAATCTCGCTCTTCACTACTTTAACAGTATTTCCACATGATACCACATGTATTTGTGTCCCAGTTTCTTTCAAAAATGAAATCAGAGATTCTTTAACATTTGAAGTTCTGCATAACCTGGGGAAAATTTAAATTTTTGTGTTGTTTTAAAAATAAAAATTCATGGAACTAAAACAGGTGAGCTAAATCCTACCTTGGGGGCAAATGTTTCAGGTATTACAACTGGAGCACTTCGACTTCTTACAATATAAATATCACTAAATTTCATATATAAATCCCTGAAAGAGAGATCAAACCAACATAAAAAACTTTTATAGGAATATTTAAGGTGGCAAAGAGTGCACTCTATTCACTCAAAATGTCTGAAAATTTTAGTTCAGTCTAATCAAATGGATTCAATTTTGGTTCAACCGTAAAAGCTTTAGGTAGTCGTCTCGTTGAAAAAGGAAAAGCGGTATTAAGTTATCACCCCATGAAAGGGAATAAGGATTCCAGAATCCAAGAAATTTTTGATTGCGGAATCTAGAATCTAGGAACATTTTGCTCGTGGAATTCAGAATCCTAGGCTTTGGAATCTGGAATACAGCTCAAGGAATCTGGAATCCCATTAACGATTTGAATCTGGGATCTAAGTCTAAGTCTGGAATCCAGTATGTCTAGAATCCAAAATCCACAAGGAGGAATCCAGAATACGGACTGTCAGATTCTCTTACATGGAGTGAATTTTAATATTACAGTTAAACCTGTATATAACGGCTCTGTATTAAGCAGCCACCCTATATTAAGCGACCAGTTTTCAAAGTCCCAATTTTTCACTCATACAAACCCTGTATTAATTTTTGTTACCTGTATTAAGCGGCCACCATCAAACGGAAACTAAGCCATAAATGTACATGTATGTCATTTTGTGCTACTTTTAATTAGCAACATTTATGTTATAAAAATTCTTATTCTAGTATGAAATTTCATTCTGGCATGTATCATGTAAACAAAAAATGAACTTTGTTCCAGATTGAAAATTCCAAACCATGTAGTCTGGAGCGAGTGGTGCATGCGTATCTGATCTGGTGCAAAAACCACATGAGCGAGAAAGCCTTAGGCTGAGCCATTTGATTTTATAATGTGAGAACAGCAAGAACCTCACTCTGGAACTAAACTCATTCCAGAAGGAAAGTTATTCCTGGATCATGTGAAAAGCCGCTTACCCTTACTGACTAAATGCCTGCAGTGTGCTGATAAAGACCTGCAGTACACAGTAGAAATGTCATGATCAATAATAAATCAAACTCCAAGTTACATAGTTACCTACCTACAATTTGTACCAAGAGAGTTTTTCCATGTATCTACAACTGAATTAATATTTTCTATCCCTGTATTCAGTGTTGATGTTTCCAGGCAGTTATTGTTGAACCACAACTGTTTAAAGAAATTGAAATATAACAGCAAGATATCAACAACTAAATTTTCTACTTGCATGTACATGTACATCAGTACGGTGTACCTATTATTAGGCAAAGCGATTCCATAAAAATATACATCAAAAAGTGACAAATGTTTTTAAAAACATACATTTCACGTGTATGACCCTTCTTCAGTGTGAAGAAAACTAGTCATTTTGTAAACGGTTTTCCTCACGTTCAAGAAGGGTCATACACCCCAAATGTCTGTTTTTTAAAAACATTCAACATTTTTTGGTATTTAAATATAGGAATATCGCCTCATCAGCTACATGGCATTGCTGTCAACTCTCCCGGATAATCCAGAATCTCCAGACAATCTGGAGACTCCAGATTTTTGACCACATCTCCCAGTCTCCAGATCAGAGAAATAAAAATCTTGTGGATAATCACCAAAGTAACTGGACCTTAAAGCATCGCACCAAAGAAAATTTCAAAAGGTTACTGTCGATTTAGTCCACGGAAAATCACAGTGGTTCTAAATGTTGGGTTCCTTAAAACTATTTAAAAACAAGTTTTGTTTGATTTCTTCTTTGACCAAACAAATTTAATGCTTATCTATTGTTCTAGCTCACTTGCATTACATTAAAGACAGGTAGAAATGTGATGTTTTATGCGGAGGAAGTGTAATTTATTACACAAATCACTACGTACTAACAGCATAAAGACAAAGACATCATTTCTATGGAAGCCAAATATCATGCCACACAGTAAATATTTACAGTGAGAATTTCAGAGATAAAGGGGTAAAATTCAACACATTTTTGATGTTGTTTTCTAAAGAGTGAAAGAAAAGGTGAAGGATCCCAAACACTTTCCAGAGGCACAATAATATTGAGCAGTTGTCCTTTCCTTTCCAGGTTGCACAAAAATAAAAACAGAGCCGTAAACTTGATTTGTGGCTCTCAGCAACTAGCCCAAGTAATTTAATAATTATCAGTCCTTCACCAAGCTGTATTCAGGATGGGCTATAATAATTTTCTATTGGCACAGCTGTCTGTAAAAAGTTTTATGAAGAAAGACAGCTGATCACTTGTGCGCCTTCCAAGGCTGAAGGATTGTTGCTATGTGGTGTATTAATTCTAGAACACTATACTCGGGACTGTAAATCTGCAAATGTTTCTGTTTTTCCTTTTTGGGGTCCATCAAGGTTGCTACGCACTGAAACAGCAAATATTATTGTCCTGTTACTATAATATACATTATAAATTAATCATAAAAATGATAAATTAAGGGATGGTTGAGCAACCGCTCACTAATTATTCTTAACAACAACCCAAACTTTTCTTACTCACAATGTAAAGTAAGTAACAGAGTATACTTCCATGTTTTTAAGTCAAACAACGCCTAAGGATACATCTTAAGGAATTTTTTAGAAGAGAGTTCAAAGTCTTGATATAGATTGTTGGTTTTCTTTGAGTCGACATGCATGCAGGTACATACATGTACATAATTGCTGGTTTAGTGACTGAAGACCAAACTTTGATCATTGTCAAGCTACAGAAATTTAGATTAAAATACAAGTTTGTGACTCGGAATTAAGAAGAACATATAAAGAGAAAGAAACCTTCAAATTGTCATTAAGACTACAGGCACTCGAGCGGGCGGGCTGAACATGAACAAGAGAAGCCGCCAAGATGTACTTTCACAATTTCCAACAATCACGAAACAGTTATTTGACGAAACTAAGTTTACTTACGTGATCGAACTGCACAGAATTATTGTACACCTGATATTTGAGATTGTCCTTGTCGAGGGACTCTTGCCCGGCAGTATTCGACTGTGCGTGAGTGGTGGATACGATCAAGGCGGTGAAAGGTTTGAAAGGCTTCGGACGAGAATTATAATACAAAGCGATGAGAAAGACTGCTATAAGAACAGCAGCGACCAAAAGCGACTTTTGTTTTCTATGTCCAACCATGAAACTTCCACAAGATTCCCCTCCAACCTTTGCACGCATCGCAGACAATCGAAATATAAAATGCGTGACATTACTTCACGCTTTCAAAAACAGTCCTTTCCATTTCATCGTTCATTTTCGTAATTCTTCGGAAAATTCCGGTTCATCTTCGTCAATAGTACCCAGTCCTTCAGTCAGGTGGTCGCCATTCCAAAAAAGAAGATGGCGGTTCGTTGAGACTTGCGATTCGATTTCACTACGATTGCAGTTTTAGTTGGTGGAATAAATGGACGCCTCTTCTCAAGAATCCGTTACAAAGTCTTCGTCAAAATTGGACAAAGAAACCCAAGGTGAAAATGCAGAAAGACGTTCTAACAAAGACCACCCAATCAGCGAGAAAACGTCAAAACAGTCTACAAGCACTTCTGATCAGAAAGGTAAGCTTATAGGAAACTATGTATCACCTGATAAGAGCGATCACATTACAGTATCACCATGCCATAAACATAAAAAAATTCATAAAACAAGTTAAATTAAATTATTCCTTGTATTAAACTGTGTTTTTAATCATAAAAGGTGCTTATTGAAAGAGCATAGCGGGCAACCATTAAGGGCCTGAAAAATCACCTTAATTGTCAATTACATTATATAAAGTACATGGGTTTTCCTCTGGGTGAGAAATTTCATTCAGTTCCTAAGGGTTGATTTCCAGTGCCGTGTAGTTTTTACGTGCAAATAAAATAGAGGCAATGCATGAAAGGTGGCTCATAAGTTAAAAGTTGAACCTCGCTCAACTTCTTGTTTAAGCTCAGCACTTTTTATCTTGCCTCCATTTTATTTACGGGATTGAAATTTACGTGCATTAACGTGCATAGCCAAAAACGTGTCAGTGGAAATCCACCTTAAGCGAAATAGGATATCGTCTAAATAACCAGCACACATCTTCAGCAAGCATTTCCTTTTCTGGCCATACCCTTAGGACACAGTTTTCCCTCGAATTTCCCTAACATCTCGCCCCCACTTCTGCTGTGGTTGCATACAAATCTTGGAGTACAGCCAAGAGAATGTCTTCTTTAGATGTAATGGGCAATTCCAGAAAATATCCATACCTTACCATGGACAGCTTCCATGTTTTAACCCCCCTTCACTTCAGAATTTCCAAAATGGGTTATCCCCCCGTGCCCTCGGAATTTCCCTTGGCAGATCTACTTTATGGAAGATAATTCATTGCATACAATGTCTAAGTTAGGACATGTGTAGATCCATGTTGACATTAAAGTTCTTCATATATTCTAAGTAGCATAGTGCACACAGCGAACATAGAGATCAGAGAATGTGGGAAGGTTAAAAGCAATGGAAAATCATTAACCATCAAGGCATGATCAATCAGAAATGCGGTATTGGTATTTTATAGATTTTCAACATGGTAGTTCAGTATTTGCCAATTTTTCTTACAGTATTGNCATGAAAGGTGGCTCATAAGTTAAAAGTTGAACCTCGCTCAACTTCTTGTTTAAGCTCAGCACTTTTTATCTTGCCTCCATTTTATTTACGGGATTGAAATTTACGTGCATTAACGTGCATAGCCAAAAACGTGTCAGTGGAAATCCACCTTAAGCGAAATAGGATATCGTCTAAATAACCAGCACACATCTTCAGCAAGCATTTCCTTTTCTGGCCATACCCTTAGGACACAGTTTTCCCTCGAATTTCCCTAACATCTCGCCCCCACTTCTGCTGTGGTTGCATACAAATCTTGGAGTACAGCCAAGAGAATGTCTTCTTTAGATGTAATGGGCAATTCCAGAAAATATCCATACCTTACCATGGACAGCTTCCATGTTTTAACCCCCCTTCACTTCAGAATTTCCAAAATGGGTTATCCCCCCGTGCCCTCGGAATTTCCCTTGGCAGATCTACTTTATGGAAGATAATTCATTGCATACAATGTCTAAGTTAGGACATGTGTAGATCCATGTTGACATTAAAGTTCTTCATATATTCTAAGTAGCATAGTGCACACAGCGAACATAGAGATCAGAGAATGTGGGAAGGTTAAAAGCAATGGAAAATCATTAACCATCAAGGCATGATCAATCAGAAATGCGGTATTGGTATTTTATAGATTTTCAACATGGTAGTTCAGTATTTGCCAATTTTTCTTACAGTATTGCAGTATTGGTTAACCCCAATTTCTCCTTCTATCTACATTGTACATGTATATGATGGGAGGAAATGAAATGAAATGTGAAGACTTTAACATGCAGAAACTATTTCTTGATGGTAACTTCAATGTGGGCCTTCAGATTTCCATGTCCAACCACCACACATAATGATAACCACGTCTCAGAACAGAAGTCGCAAGTAATAGACTACCTTATTCACAATACCAGCTATTTTTGCGTGCCCTTTTGTTTTGATGGGAGATATTTGGGAGCTTAAGCAGAGGAATTTTTGAGTGACGTACTTCAACCGGAGTTGAGGTCTTTTCCCTGTTAAATATGCCTTGACACTTCAAAATTCGTATTGAAAAGTGTTTTAACTCTTGCAGAGACTGATACTTGCCCAAACATTTGGGCAAAACCACCGCTCAAGAATAAAAAAAATCCATATTTTCCAGTTAAGGTGCATTGCTCAAAAACGTCTTTGCTTTACTCCAGGCTATTGTCACTTACAGTGTATCTGCCCCCTGAGAAACCATTTCGCATCAGTCCTTAAGTGGGTGCAAAGATGGCAGGTGTTGGGAATAAGGTCTATTACTAAACCCAGGGTGCAAAGAAAATCATTTTTACAGCTTGCCATTCAGGCAAGCTGAAGCTAGCATTTACTAGCCCAGACATCACTTCAACTAGCCCCAAAAACTTTTTGACTAGCATAATTGATTTCACAGTTCTTCTGTTATTCAAATTCCTCAAAAAACATCACTTGCCCATCGGGCAAGTTAAAAACAGAATTCACTAGCCTGATAGCAAAATCCACTAGCCCCGGGCTATCACACACTACTTTCTTTGCAAGCTGTAAACCACTAATTCCTTGCACTTCGAATGGTTACTTTTAGTCCCAAGAGAAACCAACATCAATTTTCTCCTAACAATTATCAATACATCATGAAAAGAAAAAGTTATGAGAATGATTTATTAAAATGATTACTTGGTGGAAAATGGTTTGATCTTTCATTAATTTCTCTCAAATAACTCTTTAAGGAAATCTTTGTTGATCAGCCAGGAGAATTTGTAAGGGGATTTTGGGGCTTAACGGATTAAGGGAAGCTTGACTGTGTTTACATATCTGAGTACATGTATACAGTTATTTTGAGAAAGGTTGTCAGAAAAAGTGCACATGACAATCCCAAAGGGTGTTCTGAGTGGTTTTGAGTCCACTGTTCTTCAAAGAAATTTGAAAGAATGGCACTAGAGCCCATGGACATATGTTTGGGAGTGCTAAAGGAAAGCAGCAAAAGTAAATCTGACAGCTACAGTCGTCAGGAACAGTGTATTGATCATATCCCATATTACCTTTTGGAATTGTCGTGTACACATTTTTTCCGAAAACCTTTCCTCGAAATTATAGCTGTATATGTTACAGGTCAAATTTGATTTCAGTGTGGAATTTTTTCACCTAGTTGATTCTTGATTTCCTCTGTCTCCTAGTGCTGGAAGACAAAATTTGTCATTTAATGAAATTGTGAATTAATCTTGGTTAAATCAGAATTAACCTGAAATCAAATTTTGTATCTCCATTTTATCTCTCCATCCTTTCTTTGTAGAGCAAAGAGGCAGGAGTGAGAATGAAAAGAGCTCAGTTTGTAAAGAATCATCATCAGCTGCAGCAAATGATGGAGGGACAGAAAGTCATTTAACTGCAGAACTGAAACGAGAAGATTCTCAAATTTCCAGTCCTGCTTCAGAAGATTCTATGGAGACAAAGGCAGATAGAACGCTTTCAGCACGAGCTGAAATGGACACTTATGAAGAAATAAATAAGAGCGAGGTTGCATCACTTGACGACTGGGAGAATGTTCACAAGTCATGTCTGTCCGAGATACCACCAGTTGATCCTGAGGTATTGAGAGACTTGGAGCTTAAGGCCGGTGACATTGCCAGAAATCTGGATCACATGCTTACAGCACTTGCGCATACTTTGAAGGCGATGTCGCAAGTAAGCATGGAATGTCTTGGTGTATATAACTCTTGTGTGGATCACGTGAGTGAAACTGTTGATGAGAACATCAAATCAATGTACACTCTAATTGCGAGGTGTGAAGAACTGAATGCCAGTTTAAAACCTGTGCAAAACATGGCAGAACAAGTGAAGGAGATTAAGAAAACTTTGGATGCCTTTGAGGCAATTTGCAAATAAAAGTATAGTAGTGTTTTATTTGCCATAATTATTTATAGTGATCCTTGGACTAATTTAATTTTTAGGCTAAGTGGTATTGTCTGTTAAGTTAATTCATTTTATAAATCAGTAACACAGTAGTGCTTGGAAAAAAAACTTCAATCCCATCTTGTCCTTTCGGCAAACAGCTCTTGCATTTTGCTTGCCCAGAGCCACTTAACTTCTTGCTTGTCTTAGGGCTAGTGCACTGGAAAAGTTACCTGCCAGCCAAGAAAACCTACTTGTGCAGGACAGGACTGCTGGACGGGACTTTTTTCCAGCCCTGCACAGAAAATGTAAGAAGAAGAAGAAGAATATACGTTCTTATTGAGCGCATGTTCCATCCCCAATGCGCTTTACATGGATAACAAAAAAAAGAAAATAAGGAAAATCTCTAGCCTAGGTGACATATTATATATATTGTACACTTTAAAATACTAGAAAGATGTTAAGAATAAAAATCAATGGAAATATTCCTTGAATAAAAATGTTTCAAGTTTTGTTTTAAGTGTAGCAACACTTTCTGCATTTTTGATATATTCTGGGATAGTGTTCCATAACTGAGTTGCTGCAGTGGAAAACGTGCGTCCTACATATGTTTTGGATTTTATGGCTGGGGTGCATGTTGGGATGCATGCTGATACCAGTATTGCAAATGCCACAGGAAAAAATAACCGATTCCCATTTTTGGATATTTTAGGATATCTAAAGAATACGCATAAAAATCCCAAATTTGGAAGAGTGAGACAAGTCCCAATCAGGGAACTTGGTTGGGAATTCCCTGGTTGGGACTTGTCTCACTTTGCCAAATTTGGGATTTTTATGGGTATTCTTTAAATACCCTAAAATATCCAAAAATGGGAATCCGTTATTTTTTCCTGTGTGCAATGCATGGCTGACCAACCAAGGATTAAGAAGACACTAATATATAGGTTTAGCCAGGACTAAAAGCGAAGCTCTTTCAAACAAACTATAATGCTAAGCGGCGAAGGCAACGCCGGAGAACGGTGAGAAACAACAATAGGTCTAATTACTTTGCACGTGCAGCACACTTTTTTGTACATTTCTTTGCCGTTGTTTTTCACGACTACAGCGTGAAACATCCAGAAACTTCTTAGTTACACATTTTATGGAAGAAATGTCGTACGTGTTATCGTTCACTGTTTTTTCACTGCCACTCATTTTCACCTTGCATTGGTAGCCGCTGTTACAAAATTTTCATGTCGTTCTCCAAGCAAAAAATTGTCTCCATTGTTTTTCTCTCGCTCTAGATCTCTGTCGCCCTTTTTCTCGCTGAGCTTCGCTGGCCTGCCGCCTGCCTTCTCTTTTTCTCTGTCTTTCCCTTTCTCTATATTCCACATTTGTGAACATGACATTTAATCTAACATTAATACTTTAGACAACACGGATACAGAAACAATTTCCGCTTTCCATTTTCGTCTTTAGTTGTCTCTGCTTTACAAGACGCGGGCGACTATGCGATTTCCCGCCAAAATAAACTCGAGTTGCTTTTGCGTTGCCATACCTGTTGAATGAGTTACATTGGTATGCCTGTGGTGCGGATGGACGGTCGGTCGTTCGGTGTACGGTCGCGTGATTACCAAATTTTCTAGATTTTCTTAGCTATGGGGCTTTGCAATGCGCGCGCGCGTGGAGCTCCGCTATCATGTCTAGAAAATAAAGTTATTCCTTTTCGAGCGTGAACTTAATAAAGTATCTAAGGAGCTCTTAACAACTGATGACTGGGCATTGGTGCCGGGTAGCAGCAGAAAGTGGTACTATGGTTCCACTGTGTAAATATTTTCCCTGTTTCACCCTGCTGGATGCCATTTTTAAACTTGAGCGAAGCAGGAAGTTATGGGTATGTAAAGAAGTGGATTTCCTCGGAACTTACAGGAAATGCATGAACACAGGAACCCGATACTAAAATAAATATTTAGTGTACGAAAAGGCCTCGACCTTGTACTCGTGCACTGATACCTTGGCTGAATTCTGGCGTGGGTACTTGAGAAAAGAGGTTGTCGAAACGAGTGCCTAGCACTTGTCATCTGAAAACGTAGTGCGAACATCACCTAATATACCCTGGGTACCAGAGGTTTTTTCTCGCATACGACGGGGAGCTTCGTTTCGTCGGCCGCAGGCCGACTCGTGTTCGACCGAAGGCTGAAGACACGAGCGGCGAAACCGGAAACCGCGCATGAAAAGCCTATGGCACCCATGGTACACCTAATACAGCGCTTCACTTAAAATACCCTCTTTGTCATGAAAGGTCGAACTTGGGATCAAGTTAGGTGTCTGGGAAACTGCCCACCTACCCCTCCCCTAAGCTATCATTTTGCCTAAAGTGAGAAGTAAGTGTTAATGTTAGCTTAGGGGAGGGGTAGGTGGGCAGTTTCCGGGAAACCTAAATTGATCCCAAACTTGTACTATAACCTCGGGTGGGGGGCACTTAAGAAATTTTTTTGGTAAGGATGTGCCGCTGGGAACATGGTATCAGTAGCCTCTACCAGTGCTAGTTCAGCTGAATTTTATTAAACTATTCCAGACTAAACACCCAAAACCCCTACCTATTCTAGTGTTGCTATTTTGAATGATAGTCATCTATCAGCGCTTTCTTTGTGATTGGACTCACTTGCAGTTATTTACTGGTTTCATGTTTTAGTGTCAATTTTCGGTTTCCCTAGTCTAGACTAAAATCTTCAACCAATTAATCAGTTTCCCCCGGAAAATGGTACCCTATTCTTGATTCAAACTCTCTGATTTCTATACCCTATCTTAGGCTAAATTAAACTGCTTGAAAACCATGCCCTTCAAAGGGGCACATACCTATATAGCCTATATTTAGATCTCTTAACTTCTGTGAGTGAAGTGTCACTAAACAGCCAGCCATAAAATGCATCTGTTAGCCAAATTTGGGTCCTTTTACAGACCAAAATGACAGATTTCCCTGCCCTTTCACCCGGGGGGTTGGGGGACTCCACATATGAAAGGGGTGGGGATGCTTGTCGTCTCGCTTAGGGGTGTAAATTTCAGATTTTGGTCTCACTTAGGGTGTTCTGGGCAAAACGCCATCATATTTAGCCGTGAAGGCCTCGTTTAGGGTTGCACGCGAAAAAACATAAAATATATATTTGATATGTATATTTTTAATGCGTTTCATCTACTCCATTCATATAACCCAAGTTTTCTCATTTGTCTGTGTTCTAACATAGTCTCTTTTAGGGGTCAAGAAAAGCTTGGGCCACGCCCAGATCGGTCTCCGTTACGGGTTTGATTCAAAATTTCCGACGACCATCCCCACCCCTTTCATATGCGGAGTCTCCCCCTCCCCCAGGCCCTTTTAACTACTGAAATCCCTAACCTTTCATAATTTATACCTGAAGCATGAAAAAGGTACCCCTTTCAGGCGGAGCCACCCCATCGGACTCTTATCTTTCTTCTCAAGATCGCCGTTGGAGAGAAGTTCGACTTTACTTTCATTCATTGAAAGCTTAATATTGGGTGCAAGTAATGACGAAGTATGAAAAGGTTCTGAAACCAGAAGTTCTAGAACATTAATAGTTCACTCATTTATGAGTTTTTAGCCTGTTCCAGCATAGTTATTAGAGGAGACTGGTTATGAAAAGCGGCAAACATCAATGATAAAAACAACAGTGCTGCAGTTTATGTTGGAAGCACCCTGAAAGTGCACAATCCTTTGTTTTCTGTTGGCAAATTGTTACGGAATAAATTAATGCAACGTTTTTATTGGTCAATACAATCAAACTGATAGGAATTCTTTTGAACGTTGTGCACTTTCAGGTCCACAAAAACATATAACAAAGGAGTCTGACGGGTTTCATAACCATTCCACTCAATTAACTATGGTTCCAGGCGTTCAGATAGTGGGGAGCGGTGCGAACTAAAAAGGAGCGCGAAAAAAATAAAAGCGAGGGAGGGGGGGAGGGGTGAGAGAGGGAGAGAGAGGTTCCCTCACCTCTCTCCCCAGTCCCCCTCTACTTTTTATCGCTTTCTTTACTTCGCACCGCTCTCCGCTATCTGAACGCTTGGAACAGGCTAATGAGTTTTGCTTAGGTCAACCGCCTCATTTTCTCTTTGCATTCTCTTAGAATTAGCGTTTTACTTCTCACCAGAAAAAGGCCACAAGCGCCTTTTAATTGACGCCTCCTGCATACGAATTCCATGTTGTGCTAATTTCAAGACAATAGGTACAAGGTGGCAAAAAATTAATTCCGTTCTTAAAAGAGCACAACGTTCAAATGGGTTAGATTGTTTTCCTTTCTCTTTTTCGATGGGGAGCTTAACCAACGACGACGTTGGCTAAAACGTTTCTTACAAAGTGAATTCACGGTGTTTCAAAATTCACCGGTCAGTATATTCCATGTCGTCCAGTTTATCAAATGTTGTGTCGATGTCTTGAGTTCAGGTCCTCCACAAAACCACTGAAATAAGCCAGTGTCACGTCGTGGTCGTACAATTTCGTACAACGATTACAAAGGAATGTATAAAAAAGTTGTTCTTCCAATCTAAACCTAAGGCTAATTTTTTTTCTTTTTTTTTTTTTGCCGTTTTTGTTGCAGTCGTCGTTGTCCTCACTTGAGCTTCTAATGAGGAGCCCAGCTTCCTGTTCTACCTTGACATATTTCTATGGTTTTCGAAAGCGTGCCTGCTCCCAGTGATACAAATCACGCATAAATTTATATACCCTTTATTTGGAAGTCCCAGTTATCTCAAAATTTCTTTTAACAAATTTTTGTGAAACCTCACACAGCACAGGATAAGCATCATAAACTAAAAGTATTCGCTGCGTTGAGCATATTCCAAAGAGAACGCAGACGACGGCTAAAATTCGATTAAGAGCCAAAACAATTGTGTTCCATTGACAAGTGATTATTCATTCCGAACACGTAAAATCATTATCATAGGGTGAATTCGTTTACAGTATAGCTTAAGGCCCGCAAGAATTTTTGTTTTTATTTTATTTTATTTCTTTCTGCACTACACGTACGCCACTATCACTAACTGTAAATCAGAATCCACCCATAAAGATAGTTCAGTTTTAATAATGATGGATTTACAATAAAACGAGCTGTTTAAAGGAATAAGGATTAGATGCAAAAGTTCAAAGATGAACACTACACCTTATAATTGAAAGCCACCTTAAAAATCCCCTGAGGCCCCCAAATGCGGGCCGTTACGTCAGCCACACTCTTTTATTATTATTTTTTTTCAATAAGAATTAATTATATTTTACAAGAATACCAAGGCTAAAAATTGCAAAATTTTAAGATAAAACCCGAGAGGTC